CATTAAATTAAACATCGTTTACTAATTAATATTAACGGAGAAAATTGTTTACAAGAGTAAACAGTTTCAGTGGAATAAAATTTTCTAATTAATTCAGCAAGCAAATTTAATTATGTGTCAACCATTGTACACTCCTTACATAAATGGTAAATTTCCTATAATCTCTTACAAATGTCTGATACCGAGAGAAGCTCATACAATAATATTTTAAAGACAAGAACAATCAGAAAGGAAGATAACATTAAAACACGTGTAATAGCCAATAGAAAATAAGTCAATTTTTGAAATTTCGCAAACGTTCTTTTGGAGAAAAGATGAAGTCTTGCCCATTATACTTATTTGGTCCCATTTTTTCCACCGTAAAAGTATTTGGAATAGATTTGCTCGATTCGTGCCAATGCCTGGAGCAACAGAAGAACAGAGAAAGGAAATGTTCGTCAAAGTATTTCAAATTTTATGCTAATTTAATCAAAGCATATGTTTGGTTGAAAAATGTGGAATTTGTCTTACTAATTTTAATACCAGATTATTATTGCCTTCGAGGAATAAAGATGTTTGAAAAGCATTCCAATCTAGCTTCGTTGATTCTTCTATTCATTTCTGTGTATGTTTCTCTACAATTTAGCATCTTAAAAAGAAGAAAATTAAATTTACATTACTCGAAATATAATTACGAAGAAGAATACAAAATTGCAAATCGTATAGAAATGAGTTTACTTGTATATTTAACTTTTGCTTTCTTTGCGTGGCTATTAATGGGCTCAATGACGTCGTTACTAATTTACGTGGAGATAAAGAAACAAAATGGAAGCGATTTCGAAGCATTGTCGTGTTCTGTTAACGAAGCAACGTGGCTTCTGTATGCAGTAGGACAAGATCTATCTCTTCTGCTATATTTTGGCTTATGTATATTTGTTTGGTCGAAGAGATTTGTGAATTTATCCGAAGAATTAAAAGAGACTAACATTCGAATGGGCATGTTGACAAGTCGATTACAAGCCATTATGGAAAAGCACACAGAGCTATGGGAAATTTATCAAATGGTCAACGAAACATTTTATTGGCTGATTCCTTTAAATTACACTTATTTTCTTTACGCCTCTTGTTTCTTTACTTACGGAGCGATTTTTGGACAGATGAATTTCAACATTCGAATAATTGTTTTAATTATTTCTATAATATATGATTTTGGTGTCATTTTTGTATCTTGGTTACTGTCAAATGCAATGTTAAAGGTGAGTACCCAATGTTTACTTTATCTGTTTTAGTTTATTTAGTCTATGTAGTGTTAGCGTAAACAATGTTTAGTTTACAGTATTTGAAAAATAATATAATTTGTAAATTTGTGAAGCAAAGTATCTGTTTGTAGATCAAAAATATTCATTTAAAAATTGACCTTTGGTACTTGCATATGTGTAACTTTCTTTTATAGGAATCATTAAAATATTTATAATATTCATCACTTTTTGCTGTAATATTACAATCCATTTTAATGTTATATGTTTTAATTTTTTATTGATGCAATTAAATTAAATGAAATTTTGGAATATTTTCTACCATAGAAAAAGCATTAGGCCTATATTTTTATCCCCATCTGCTAGAGATGCCGAGAATGATGAAGTCCCGTTATTTCAATTCAAAAAAATTTCTTCAAAAGGTATTAGATACATAACTGGCACGTTTCTATTGTTAAAGGGAAAGTATGATGAACAGGAACAAGCCACTATTAATTTCAGGTGGAGAGCATATATTTTAAGTTAAATAAATTAATAATTGCAGCCCAGCATTATAAATGCAGCAGCCGTGAATGCAGTAGCATAGATCGATGCATAATTTCTACTACAACTTTCAGGGAATAATTTATAAACTTTCAAGTATTCGAGGAATTAATTAAGCATCACTAAATATAAAATATTTAATATAATGAGCGACATTCATCAAATTCTTTTGAAATATTAATATATATTCTTCCTGTAGTAAATTTAATGTAAGTTACATTAACTCTGTTAATTAATTCGTTGGTATTTATCAATTTCTCGTCTCGTATAATAATCGTTGTAATGTAGAAAATTTAAAATTCAATCTTTAAAAACAACAGTTTTACCATTAAAATATTGATTTATTACTAAATCTAAATTTAGTCTCTATGTCACGTATAATTACAGTACGAATTTTTCGGCCTGGTAGTGAATGACATTACTAATTCAGTAGTGTTGTACGGTTAAGTATCTCTACATCTTTAGGGAACAATTACATTACCATTTTTAAAATATATAGTAATATAAATATATACATTTTCATTTCGCTATTCATGATCGATATCTTTAGTAATTTAATTATTATTATTATTTATTAAATATAATTTAATATAGGAAAAAAATTCCGTAACGAGTTTCGTAACTTTCCCACAAAAAACATAGATGTATTGCCACAAAATTAAAATTGTCTGTGGCGCCATTTTTTATAAGATTTTGTTTTAAAATAACTTTTATATTATTAATTTAACAAAATGAAAAAAGATTGATTTCGAGGGTAGAGATAAGTTTTATGAAAAGATATTAATGCTAATAACGGTCAAAATCTTCATTAAGTCCGATCCAATCGAGATATGACAAATGATCCTCTCTATCTCCCCACCTTCTTGACCAAAAACTACCAAAATATACTAACATCAATACCCCTTATACTCAAGCTACCGAACAAAATTTCCTTACTTATTCATTACACTATCCTGAGATATTAAACAAATAAACGCCAACACCGACAAACACGTATAAATACATGCTTTGAAGAATTGTTATTTAGATAATGCCCTGAATGATTATTCGTTCTGAGAATTCAAAAACTGAAAAGATGCCGAAGAGAAGGAACATTTTAATAAAGAAAATGTAGTGAATGAATATATCATCGTATAAAACATTAAAATATTTTATGATACAATAATATTATATAAGAAAAAATCAAAATCTTTCTTCAAAAATTAGTGAAATGTTTAAAGATGAAACAGTGCCCATTATACTTATTTGGTCCTATTTTCTCTACTGTAAAAGTATACGGAATAGATTTGGTCGATTTGTGCCAATGCATAGAGGGAATGAACAAGAGAAAAAGGAAACGTTCTTCGTCAAAATATTTCAAATTTTATGCGAATTTAATTGAAGTATATCTTTGGCTAAATAGTCTCAAATTTCTTTTAACAGTTTTATTACCAGATTATTATGATGAAGATGGTTAAAGAGCACAGAAATGAATAGATCCTTCTATTTATTTCTGTGTATTTTTTTCTACAATTTAGCATCTTAAAAAGAAGAAAGTTGAATTTTCATTACTCGAAATATATTTACGAAGAAGAATACAAAATTGCAAATCGTATAGGAAAGAGTTTATTTGCGTATTTAACTTTCGTCTTCTATTCTTCGTTGGTATTGTCTTTAATTGTCTTTAATAAATATTTTACTGGGAGATAAAAAAACAAAATGGAAGCGATTTCGAAGCAGAAACTTGTTCTATTAATTCAACCATATGTCATCTATACACAGCACGACAAATCCTGTCTATTTTACTGATTTCTGGCTTGTCTGTATTTGTTTGGTCGAAAAGTTTTGTGAATTTATCCAAATAATTAAAAGATACAAAGATTCGAATGGGCAGGTTGACAATCCAGTTACAAGTCATTATGAAGAAAAACAGAGCTATGGGAAGTTTATGAAATGGTCAACGAAGCGTTTTATTGGCTGATTCCTTTAATTTACACTCATTTTCTTTACGTCACTTGTTTGTTTACATACGGAGTTATTTTTTAGCAGAAGAATTTCAACTTTCGAATATTTATTATTTTGGCTTCTTTAGTGTTTGATTTTGGAACGGTTATTAGATCTTGGTTACTATCAAATGCAATGTTAAAAGTGAATATTGATGCTGTATTTGATTTATTTGAATACAATGTATTATATTGAATGATACTCATAGCATTTAATTATGAACTTATACAGTATTGTGATTGCTTGAAAATTTGTTCTTTGAACCACAGATGTAAAATCAGTAGGCTATTTTCTTAATTGAATTCTAGCTCTGAGGTCATTTTATTCCTGAGTGGGATTCGTGTTCTGTTTTATGTGAAACACTATTTTTGAAAATTAAGAATTTTAAAATAAAACATTCCACATGTTATCAGCGGAATTGATTTACTCATATTCCACTTCAATTTTCAGATTAATTAGGTTGCAATTTGAAAAAAAAAATGCAGACCTATAAATTCTCACTGTCGTCCTTCTAAATTCGTTATAAAAAGTTTTAATTGGCATAAATTTGAGTTTTTGTAATTCTAAATAACATTTTGAATAAAATTCATTTGTTTCCGTGCAATTTTATCTTTATAAGCATAAAATTAAGTCGTAAAACTGAGTTAGCTCTATGGGAAACCCCGTGAACTTTGACCTATCGAACCAGAAGTTTTGCCAGTACCTCACTGATAGCGAGAAAGGCTTAAAAGTTTAAAATTTGAGCTTTCTAGATTCATTAGATTTTTCTCTATGAGCGTCTGCAGTACTGGGTGAAAAAAAATGAAGTTTTTTTCAGATTTTAGCGCTTTTCAATTGCTTATATTTCGTCAATCTCTCTATAGAAATTCTTGAAATTTTGCCCACCATCTAAGAAAGCAATTATCTTTCGAACGAGGTATTCGGACTTACTTTAAATATTTGGGGAGCGGAGAAATCGACTCCCAAAAATCGGCAATTTTGATTCCAATATATAGTCAGTCAGTGACATTATTACTTGGCAGGGAATCATTACCGTGACTTCTGATGCTGTGTTAAAGTATAAACAAATAAATATTCTTTCGCTTTACAGTGTTATTACTGTTTCCTTTTGAAAATTTCCTCTTAAATACGTGCTTACCCAATAGGGATTTTTCTCGAAATCTTTACCATGGATAATTATAAAAATCGCTATGATAATTCTATTTATTATTTCTTAATTACTGTATCTTATAATTTCAGATTCACGACGATTTCAGTTCAGTTTGTAAAATGTATTCTGCTGAATTAACTTCAGAATTCATGTTTAAGGTAAGATTATAATTCCCATTTTATAAGTTTTCGTGTTCTAATTTAATGAAATGCCACACTTTTGCGTAGATAACTGGTTTATGAAAAGATTTAAAGGACTACCAATGGTAATCTCTGTTGACGATTTCTTCTTCATAAAGAGAAATTTCTTGATAAGAGTAAGTACGAAATGTTATTACAGTAGAGCGTCGATTATCCGAATCAATTGGGAACTGGGCTGTTCGGAAGATCGGCGTTTCGGATAACCGATTATGCACGAAAAAATATATTAACTTATCCCATCTTGACATTTTTCTCCGTTGCGTGTCGCCTTGCGTTGAATTTTCATCGCTGTTAAGCCTAACGAAGACTATTGTATCGTTAAAAAGTATTTTTTTTTATTTTGTACGAACAAAATAAATATATTGAAAAATATAAAAACAATAAAAAATTATACTTCAGAAGTTAATTTAGTATCAAAAACGTAAAATATTTGAGTAGCTCAAGACATAGCCAAAGATTGCAGCGCCACAGCACTGGCGAAAATTTAAATTTGCCGACTGGAATTATTTCGGATGATTGACTTTCGGATAATCGACGTTCTACTGTATTAGTTTGTTAAAAGTAATTTCTTTCTTTTTCTTGCACGTAGTAAGCGCTCTTTATTCCATTTTCTCTTCTATGCTGCAACTGAGCGGTGTTTTGGAAAAGAATAGAAAATGTACAAGCGGCTACATTCGAAGTAATAATACTTACAATTGATTTGAATTTTTCAGTCGACAATCTCTTAAAGTACATACTTTGATTACACTGAGATAATTAATTCAGCAATAGACTGGACAGAAAGCAAGCTCTTACGCAATTTAGTTACTTATTTCGAGTATTGTTCTTGTTTTTTTCTAATTATCATCCTGTTAACAAATAAGGAAATTAAGTTACATTGAAACGATCGTATATTTGGCATATCACTTAATATATAATCTTTCTTAATACAGTCTCAATAGATTACTTCAACATTGAACACACCACTAAAAACTTAAGTTCTGTCCAGTAACATAAAAAGAATCACAAACTTTTTAGAACTTCTCCTGAGATTTACTTCAGGATTAAATGTAAAATGTACTCTGCACAGTATGCTTGGTTTCTTAGATTTCCATTCTTCTCTTTTGATGGCAACTATCCATTTTTTTTAACTTTTTGTGTTTAGAAAACTTAAGTCACCCTTACTTTAGAACATTTGTAAGCAACACCAAATGTTGCGTGCCAATGTGCAAAAATATTATTGTGCTGTTAAAAATATTCACGACGAAATCAAGTTATTTATTAAAACAGTAAGTATTTCTGAAATTGCTATAAACAATACCACGAGCAATGTTTTCAACTTTTTCAACCACAATGCACAAAACGCCATGTTAATAGCTTCGATTCTAGTATTTTTCGCTATTAGTGAATACAGGGAAATCAATATTTAAATCACACGAAAATAAATTTGTTTTACGTTTATGAACGTCATTCGAACAAAAATCGAATATCGGAGAAGGTCGGGATTTGCGGCTCCAAACTGAAACGTACACTGTATTCTCTGCGCAACGTTGGCCGGTTTTGACGTCACAAAACGTATTTACCCGAAAAGGAAGTTTGGAAACATTAGTTTTTGTAAACACGACAAACCGTTTCCACCAACAACCAATCAGAGAACGTCTCTGATGATACAGGAGCGGAGCAAGTGCAGTATATCCGTGCTACTAATACAGTACCAGTCGACCCCCTATAACACTGATGATTATTCCGTTTTATATGAATTCCATGTTGTACGATTCACTTAGATTTTACAAATACGTGTGCCGGGCTGCGAACCGCTCACGTATTTGTAAAATCTAAGTGACTCGTACAACATGGAATTCATATAACACGGAATAATCATCAGTGTTATAGGCGGGTCCACTGTATATCAGATGATATTAACCGAGTATCAACATAGATATTGCTTATGGGCAGATTTAACGGTGTGCAGGTACACCTTTCTGCTGGAAATTTCTACGAGTAAAACCGGGTACCACAGGTAATAAAAATCTGTTTTTTCTCAGCGTATTGTTTTGATTCCGCACTCAATGTAAAGCGTTACGGATTCGCTACAGGAGATGCTTACTATAATGCATTCGTTCTCTGTATTTGCCAATTAAAATAAATTTCATTACTCACAATTGTTTCGTTTTACAAATTTTCACTATTTAATAAACGTTTTATTAATTGAAAGCAAAACTTAAAAATTATATATAACTAAATTACATTTCAAAATAGGCAACGATTTGTTTTAAGAACAAATAACAAAGCAATCAACAGTGGATCAGGAAGCAAAACAAATCGCTCACACATACTTCACATTCGCTGATTTTTTTTATAGCAAAAAAATATAGGAATATATTAAGAAAGGAACCAAATACAAACATATAAATACAAAATACATATTCATCTGCACAAGTTAATATGTGTTTTGAATTCTTTCTAAAGAATAAATTGGATTATTGCTCAAATCATAAGTAGGCGTGTTGAATCCGTATTTTTCTCATCGTCGATGTAAACAATTTTTATTTTGCAGTCAGATAATTTAAATGTCATGGAATTTGGTGTATAAATTAGAAATTTTACAATTTCAAAATGATTGAATGAAAAATCAACGTAAGTCAAGTTGTATTTTGCCCAATTTATCACGGGCCATTCACTTAAATTTGTATTACCAAATTGACATAACCCAGGTGTTTGCTGATGCCACCCGAAATTTCACCCGAAATACTTCTCAGACTCCTTGAATTTTTAAGCGAAAAAACATTTTCAGGTAAACTTGTGATCTAATTTTCAGCTAAATTAAGATTTTCGAGACTCGGCAAATTACGAAAAACATCTACAGGAATATTTTCTAATCGATTTTTACCCAAATCAATCGTTTTCAATTTAGAAAGTCCATCGAAAATTCCTTCTGGAAGTGTTGCTATTCTATTTCCGTAACAGTGTAACTCTCGTAGATTCTGATTATTTTTGAAAACTTCAGACGGCAGATGATCAATTTTGTTCCTGTCTAAATCTATGATCTCCAGGTTAATCGCATCGGTAAATAAATCTTCTTTAATTTTAGACAAGGAACAGTTTCCGGCATAAAATTCAGTCAAGTTGATCAATCCCTTCAGAAATCCGGATGGAATTGAATCTAATTCCCGGTTAAAAGCAATAAAAATAACTCTTAAATTCGAAAGTCCTCTCAACAGTTTACCGGGTAATACCTTTATTTCGTTACCCTCCAAATCCAGATGTTCCAGTTGAGTGAGCTTGCTGAAGACAGATTGATCAAGGGAATCAATGTTATTGTAACTCAAATCCAAACGTCGAAGATTGGGAACTTCATCAAACAGTTTAGGCGGAATGTTCAATGCTCCATACAAATAATCTCGCTCCTCATACATATAAATAGAATATTTATGTACCCGCAAATCCATGAGAGAAGGAAGATTATCTAAAGTCAAGTTGACTAGCTCTGAAGTCCCCGAAATCTTGACAGTTTTTAGTAATGGCATATCAGTAAACGCTATACTTTCGAAGTTCTTCGGAAGCGTTGTAGTGAAAATGTTGACTTCGGTGATGGCCATTGAGTGCGGAATCAAAATAAAGCGTTACGGATTCGCTACAGGAGATGCTTACTATAATGCATTCGTTCTCTGTATTTGCCAATTAAAATAAATTTCATTACTCACAATTGTTTCGTTTTACAAATTTTCACTATTTAATAAACGTTTTATTAATTGAAAGCAAAACTTAAAAATTATATATAACTAAATTACATTTCAAAATAGGCAACGATTTGTTTTAAGAACAAATAACAAAGCAATCAACAGTGGATCAGGAAGCAAAACAAATCGCTCACACATACTTCACATTCGCTGATTTTTTTTATAGCAAAAAAATATAGGAATATATTAAGAAAGGAACCAAATACAAACATATAAATACAAAATACATATTCATCTGCACAAGTTAATATGTGTTTTGAATTCTTTCTAAAGAATAAATTGGATTATTGCTCAAATCATAAGTAGGCGTGTTGAATCCGTATTTTTCTCATCGTCGATGTAAACAATTTTTATTTTGCAGTCAGATAATTTAAATGTCATGGAATTTGGTGTATAAATTAGAAATTTTACAATTTCAAAATGATTGAATGAAAAATCAACGTAAGTCAAGTTGTATTTTGCCCAATTTATCACGGGCCATTCACTTAAATTTGTATTACCAAATTGACATAACCCAGGTGTTTGCTGATGCCAAAAATTTCACCCGAAATACTTCTCAGACTCCTTGAATTTTTAAGCGAAAAAACATTTTCAGGTAAACTTGTGATCTAATTTTCAGCTAAATTAAGATTTTCGAGACTCGGCAAATTACGAAAAACATCTACAGGAATATTTTCTAATCGATTTTTACCCAAATCAATCGTTTTCAATTTAGAAAGTCCATCGAAAATTCCTTCTGGAAGTGTTGTATTCTATTTCCGTAACAGTGTAACTCTCGTAGATTCTGATTATTTTTGAAAACTTCAGACGGCAGATGATCAATTTTGTTCCTGTCTAAATCTATGATCTCCAGGTTAATCGCATCGGTAAATAAATCTTCTTTAATTTCAGACAAGGAACAGTGTCCGGCATAAAATTCAGTCAAGTTGATCAATCCTTTCAGAAATCCGGATGGAATTGAATCTAATTCCCGGTTAAAAGCAATAAAAATAACTCTTAAATTCGAAAGTCCTCTCAACAGTTTACCGGGTAATACCTTTATTTCGTTACCCTCCAAATTCAGATATTCCAGTTGAGTGAGCTTGCTGAAGACAGATTGATCAAGGGAATCAATGTTATTGTAACTCAAATCCAAACGTCGAAGATTGGGAACTTCATCAAACAGTTTAGGCGGAATGTTCAATGCTCCATACAAATAATCTCGCTCCTCATACATATAAATAGAATATTTATGTACCCGCAAATCCATGAGAGAAGGAAGATTATCTAAAGTCAAGTTGACTAGCTCTGAAGTCCCCGAAATCTTGACAGTTTTTAGTAATGGCATATCAGTAAACGCTATACTTTCGAAGTTCTTCGGAAGCGTTGTAGTGAAAATGTTGACTTCGGTGATGGCATCGCTGGAAACAAAACTTCTGACATCGAAATGTGTTGCGTGACAATGATTAATTTGTAATTTCTGAATA